TGATACTCTGGAAGCTAGCCTATTTAGTATTAACTATGCACAGAAACACATATTAGTTAATTTTAATGCATACCATGTGCTCGGGCATCACTTTGCGTCCACACAACTTTCTCATTGATCCTTGATGAATTTTGTGACATAACTGTTTACTCTATTAAATATTGGCTCCATGATTAAATAGTATTCTCATCTTCAAAAGTATATACGACTAAAAAGATTGAGGGAGTAAATTTCTTGCTTTATCTAGATTTCTGTATGCTTAGGCACATGCCTTCCTGGATATGTTCACCTATTGCCTTTCTTCCTCTTTTCTTATAGTGAATTATGGGAGAGGGGTTCCCGTTTTTGATGCTGCAAAGAATTTGAGTTGCATTTCTATTTTTTAAAGAGGTGCAGACACTTGACTGATCACCAATGAGCTTGTTCTTGTAATACAGGAATGCCTGTTGTGATGATAATAACCACCATGCGAATGATGAAAATAATAGCTTTTATCATTGAAGGGTTTCTCCAATTGTTGTTAAATGTGGATGGGGAAAACCAGAAACTTTATCACATTTTATCAGATTTTTATTCCTTCACTCTCTTCGTTTCCTGAGTTCTTCTGTGTACCATGTTTCTCTGTTATGTAGGATGTCCTGAACGTACAAATTTCAGGAATCACTTCGCGGGGGGAAAAAACATTAAAAAAAAAAAAGAAGACTTTCAGTTTAAATTGCCAGCCATATCTATTACTTGTCTGTTCTTAACTGAATGGTGCTTACTATATTCTAAAATACTTGAATTGCAGCTTTGTTTATGATGTACATTCCTAGTTATTAATGCTGAAGTACCGGTACTTCTTTTAGTTCATCTGCAGACTGGAAAAATTGTGGTGAATGCATCTCCTGTTCCTGGTGGAAAATTCCTTCTCAAGGTTGAGAAGTTAGGAGTTGTTGAAAATGTCAAAGCAAATTATCTGTTTATTGCAAGTGGGAGTAGCAAGCAGGTCGCAATGCACAGATTCTTTATTGCATTTTAACATTCAGTTGAAATTACTTATCGTTGTTCCTGGCTTTTACGGCAGGGTCATCATCTAGCCATTCAGCTTGGTCATTCAATTGTCGATCCTCTACCAAGCTTGTTCACCTTCAAGATTGATGATCCACAGTTGACTGAGTTGTCTGGGGTAAAGATACTTCATAGTCTCTGCTGTCAAAAGTTAGAAAGACGTTATGCAACAAGTTTTCCCAAGTGAAAAAAAAAAGAAAGTGAAATCGTACTTGCATTTCCATCTTTTTTTAATTTGGTTTCATCTACTTTTAGGCCTTGTTCGACGTCTTAGATTGCTTGACCATGTAATAAACTGGATTGTGAACAGCATTCAAATTTATTACATCCTGGGTTCAGCAGAATACATGGAATTACTTGTGTCTATACTGTCTGCAATTAATTTATTTGGAATCTGTTTCATTTCTATAATGCGTCCCAGGAGTGTTTCTCTTTTCTCATCCATTTTTTTACATGATGTTCATGTAAGTGATAAATATATGCTTTCAATGTAAAAATAACAGGATTTAGTAATTACTATTCATGTAAGGATCGTAAATTAGACTTCAAAGTTCATGCTATTGTTATGATTGTGAACTGCATTGTGGACTTCTTGTTCTACAATTTTAAGTTATTGTACAAAACTCCACTGACTTAACTGTGTATAAGTTTATGTCTCACTCTTTCTCTCTCTCAGATAACATTCCCTAAAGTTGAAGCAAAGCTGCAATTAGAAAACATGAAAAACAACATACCGCACCTTACACAGGTAGGCCTTTCTCACTCTGGTAACATAATAATAGTTAACAATACAGGATTTTTCCTAAGCTTTTGGGATTTCCAGGTTGGTTCCATGTTAATCACTCATTGGGGACTCAGTGGGCCAGTTATTCTTCGGCTATCTGCCTGGGGTGCCCGTTATTTATTCAGAACAGGTTATAAAGGTATCTCCGTCTCTCTCTCACTCTCACTCTCTCCTTGGCCTTTTACAGCAACAGTTAACTTTTATCTGTTCAATCAGGTTGATAACATTTGGATGCAGGGATGCTCGTTGTTGACTTTTTACCTGATTCAAACGTTGAGGATGTTAAGTCAACCCTTAGTCAGCACAAGCATCAATTTGCGGTAATTCTGAATTTTCTTTTTCTGACTACAAGATTTGCAAGTTCTATAAGCTGGATGCCTTTTTCCCTTCTTTGTGAAACTACGAGCAACCATCTTTTTCAAGGGTGAATCTTGTATGCGTCTTCCATATTGTGTCTACTTTTTCTGGGTTTTCAATAAACTTATTATGAAAAACCAAAAGAGGGCATGCGAGTTGGCTAAAACTAATTATTATTTCCTAAGTGGCTTCATAATTTAATAATATTAAGATATAAAAGCAATTATAAAATATATATAATTGTTTTGATAAAAAAAATATAACATATTATATATCTAAAAAAAGCACTAAGGTAGTGCTACCCGTATGCAAAAGTATCTATATATCTAGCAGAGTATCTATAAGATCCTCCAAATCCTTTATTTAAAAAAAAAAAAATGATCCTCCAAATCCTCACTAGAAAATAGCGATAAGCTCCTTAAAAAAAAATCTGGAACCAAGTATCTCTAAATCTATCACAAGATAATTGTTGCCTTTCGAAGGCCCTCCTGTTTCTCTCTCCAAATTGCCAAAAAAGTAGCCAAAGGGATCAGCATGCCAGAATGTTTACCACTCTGTATACGCTTCCACGCCCATAACTCATCTCCCATAGAACCAACAACCACCCATCTCAACCCCAAAAGACTATAAGCCAAAGACCAAAGACAATGAGCAAACAGACACCGTAAGAGAAGGTGGCTGCAAGTCTCTGCAGCCCTCTTGCATAAATGACAGCCATTAACTAGGATTTTCATCCATCTGAGCTTATCTACACGTAAGGATATACCCCCAAACAGT